TATATATATATGTACATATATATATATATATATATATATTTATGTACCTTTTGAGTTGTACCCCATCTTGTTGGTTGGTATAAAGCCCCTCAGGTCGGGGGTCAATATCATCTCTGACATAGTTGGTCTTATGAAGGTTGTACTCAAATTGTTAGGCACACTAGGGGTGGCTGGAGTATCGTATAATAGCCTCTGGTCATATATATATATATATATATTTGCGCGCAAATAATTATAATATCTTTTTAAAGCTTCAAGTATGCTAAAAAATTCATTCAATTGGCATTTCAGCAAACTTTTTTATGTTGGCCACGCGGTGGGAGAATCACTGATCAAATTTAATTCAAGAAATTTCAGAGAATAATATTTTAAGAAAATTCTGCTATCTTTTGCAGCATCTATATATCAGTGCTAGCTTCCACAAAAAAATAATAATAATAAATAATAAAAAAAAAAGACCCATTTGGTCTTGAACATAAGTATTAATGAATTATTAAAATAAAAAAAATTAATAATTATTTTAATAGCATGTTTAGGATTGTATAGCTACTATTAAAATCTCTTTAATAGCTGATTTAACCATCTAGTAAAGAACAAAATAGTATCCTTAAATTGCATAGCTATTAAAATCTCTTTTTAAATTTTAGAATTGGTGCTGAGGAGGTGTTAGAATTTAGCTAAAAAATTTTATTCAGTGGTCTGGTATTGCTTGACACGTTTGTGACAACGAAACAATTATTAATATAATTATCTTGGAAGCACGTTTTGTTTGATCATCGACCACCACAGGTGTAACCAGAATTTAATAATTTCTTAACACTACATACATATATATATATATAAGTGTTGACACACACACACACACACACACACACACACACACACACATATATATATATATATATATATTTATAAATGAAAAGCATACTTGGTGGCGTTCATTTAGAAAGCTACAATTATTTATTTACTATTTTCATAAAATCATAATAACTATTTATTTGCTATATAATTAGTCAAACATATCCATTGTTTTCTTTCTTTTGTTCATTATATCAGCCAAAATATTCTTCCTATACCCGTCTTCTTTGTTGAACGAAAAGAAAAGAAAAGGAAAGACAATCCGTCATTTGACTACTAAGTATTCTTCGTCGTAGATTTCATTTTTCTTTCATTTGAGATTGATTATTCAACATGATAAGATGGCTACAACGATGAAGTTCGATTCGAGAAATTATTTCAACGTATTAATTTTTTTTATATTTGAATAATTGTGCATCTTCTGAGACAAGTAATTGAATCGATTTGTTAGATTTGAGATGTAGTGTTAGATAAACACAACGGTAAATTATGCATCAACATTATTGTACTGCACTGAAGAGAAAAAAAAGTAAAGTCGGTTAACAATTTATTGAGAAATAAACAAAAGACTAATTACTCTTAAGAGGTATTTTCTGTAAAATTTTCATGAATCATGTGTACAAAGTTTACATGTAAAAATAAGAACTAATTTAATGTGAACATATAAATTCTGCTTGAAGGGATATTAGAAGATTTGAGGAAGATGCAAGATTAGTTAATCAGCCATCTTATGTTGATTAAATGATTTTGCGGGCACACAAGATGTAGAAGAAAAAAACTATGAATTTAATATGCTACTGGCCCCGAGGCTCGGAATTAACTGATGGAGAACATACAACAAGACGGTGGAAATAAAAATTTTCTATATTTACTTTCTACAACTAATATTTAAATTAATGAAAGATCCACTAGAGAGTAAATTAAAGCAGCACAATTAAATCAACCTCATTATTGATTTTTCGCACTCTCTATAAATGTTTTCTCACATATCACTCATTTTTTAATAACTTAATTAAATCTGGAATGTTAGTTTAAAATGACAGTGAGCTAACAAAAACTAGTGAATGCTCACAATTCTAGACTACATTAACATATTGAAAATGAAAAAAAATTACATGTCATTTAAGTTATTTCATAAATAATATTGGTCCCTTAACATTCCCTTGCTAGTAGCACGAACGAGTGACTCCATCATCGTCAAACATATACATACAATCAACTTATACAGTTCGCATCATTCATAATTTCATATCACTGAATATATAATATTTATTATTATAATGCATAAAACATTCATAATGTAGGACTATAAGTTTTCATATCAAAATGATTGCTATAATCTAAAAATAGAGGAATCAATTTGTTAATCAAGCATGAATAACAATTTATACAACTGGTTCAGAAGGGAAACGAAAATGATATTATAATTTAAAAGTAGAAGTACTCGCCTCAAATGACTCTCTTGTCAAACGTTCTCTTTACTTATCTTTAATGAATGCCTAAAGTCAAATGCATAAGGAAATATTATTAATTCATTATATGTTAATCTTATTGTTAGAAGGCAATTTATCATTATTTTACCACTTATGTATTATTTAATAATAATTATATTATTATTATGCTAATTGTTATCTTTATTTCAAAGGATAAATTTAATTATTTTTTTTCAAACAATTTAAACAATAAAATATTGACAATTAAAAATTGGTCCTCTTAATTTAATTTTCCAGTTACTTGATGTAATTTATATCTTTTCAATTAGGCTTTAAGATTTATATAACCATACATATATTTCTATTATATAACAATTTGTCATTACTATAATACTAATAATAATTATTATTATTATTATTATTATTATTATTATTATTATTATTATTATTATTATTATTATTATTATTATTTTGAATTCATTATACATAACATTAGTTCATTGATTTGACAAATAAAGACTATTTTATTCAAAATTCAAATGTCCAAAATGCAAAATAATTTTAAATAAATACATAAATAAAGACTATTTTATTCAAAATTCAAATGTCCACAATGCAAAATAATTTTAAATAAATACATCATCACTACAAATACGAAATCTATTGACCCAAAAAAAAGAGCTCTTAATTATAAATATCAATCGCCCATAATTTTCAAAATAATTTTCTACGCTTTTCTTATCATTATCACAACAATTATATTTAATGCAATAAATATTTAAATTACATAACATTCTTGAAACAATCACAAATTAATTATGCTCATATTATAATATTTATCATCTGAATGATATGTTACATTAAACTAAAAAAAATAATAAAAAATAAAAAAAAAATGTTTCAAAATTGATTTGAAAATAATTCGAATACATAATTCTTAGAATGCACACGTTTTATGAAGTACAAACCTTATTTAAACTAATATAATATAAAACCAAGTCTTCTAATCAGATTCAAACTAAGGTTCTCGTACAAATAAATTTGTATCAAATTCATTTCCAGCAAACTTATAATTCACAATGTACTTATACTCACCCATAATCAGTGTATTACAGTAGGGTCCACTTACCATTTGACAACTTTTTACTGACTCCGAACTCGAATTTACGTCCGGAGTCCGGATGCAATATTCTCTTGCAATCATGACATGCATAACTGCATCAATTTGATAGTTTTAAAAAAGCACACGGATGCTAATTTTGTAAATAAAAAAATGTTTCAAGTGTGGTGCATGTAATTGTACCTAAAATTTACTAAACTGCAACACCCCACACCAAACACAGATTAAATCTCTCATTTTTATTACTAAAAAAAACCAAAAGCTCAATAGGCTGTTGCTTCACCTACATTTGCCATTATGCAATTACCTAAATACTGACAAATGCCATTTACATTTGACATGGCCATCTCTTACCACATGCAAAATATAGATGTCAAAAAATAATACCCAATCAAAAAAATGACAAAATTACAAGAAACAAAATTGATGAACTCACTCTAAGTACTGATCTGCTTCCAAAATGAGTAGCAAAAAAATCTAACTATTATCCTGAAGCAGCAGTATTTTTCTCATCAGAATCACAGATATTGATGCGATTCAGTTCTGCGATCCGAAGAAAGAGTTCTGGGAGAAATTAGAAGTGCCGAAATGGCGATGTTTTCCATCAGCTAAGTTAGAAACTTTAAATCCATGAAATGGAAGCTGGTTGATGAGAAGAGTCTCTAATTGGCTTGCAATGCTCTTTCCTGGAACAGTAATATACAAAAATTCTGCATTTTGCATGCATGATTTGGTGCGGTGTGAACGAACTCGACCCAAAAGATCATCAGTCTGCATCACAAAGAGGTTTGTTAGATTTTGAACTTTGTATTAATGAGTGAAAAATATCTGATACGATGTCCTGATACACTTTGCATCAGGATGAAGTTAGCATCGTCATACGTATCTTTAATTTTAAATGTCACCAATTATTTCTCAAATAAAATTAAACTATCAGGCAATACCATTCATACCACACAATACTTAGGTATTTGCATATCTAATGCACAAAGTTTGGTATTTACACTTTCAACACTTTGGTATCCCAAACCTATGCATAAAAAGGTGTATTTCATTTTTAAAAAGGCAGTTTGTGATTTTATTTTTTTAGTTTGTGATGTTTTTTATGTGATGTTAAATATTTGAGTGGTATGCATGTAAATATGAATGTATAGGGGTTAGATATGTAAATGAATAAGAATTGTATGTTATGTATGTAAATGCTCCTTAATTTAGAAGACAAATAAATGATATCCAAATTATAATGCAAATAAATTATGTCTAAAAATTTAATTGTATTACTAAATAGTTGCATTTGTATTTAAAATTTAACAATATTGTCTAATAGCTCCTGACAAGTGAAATGAATGAATCATGTCGTAAAATTAGCCTCTTACTGATACAAAATATATCGGGATATCCAGAAAGTATTATTTTTTCCCCCAAAAATGACAGTAATCAGTGCAAAAGACTTGTAGTGACCTGGCCAATGTATAGTTTATTGTCAGGCCTGAAGAGGACATAGACACAAGAGGTGCCCACTGTTGAAGGAGGTGGTTGTTCTCTTGCTCCAATTTTAAGACACACAAGTTCTGATAATTCTGATGTGCTTTTTTCCTTGTAAGGATCAATCAATTTCCTTTGGCAAATTATGGTTAAAGCATTTTCAACTTCTTTTTGTATTTCTTTCATGGAGCCTGAAATCGTAGAATTATTACTCGTCTTCAACTTGTCGAACTCTTGAACGGATTCGTTCACATCAGGCTGAGAGTTCAGATGTGGTGCTGCTAAACCAGCTTGTAATGATGTTGAGAGATACAATTCTTCAGCTCTTCTGACAATTGATTCAGGAAGACCTTCCTTCCGGGCAGTTTCGAAGGCAAGGCTTTCTCTACAGACTCCGTCTAACAATTTCCAGGTTGGCTTTATGTGACCATCAACAATCTCGATTCCCATTTGTTTAAATATTACATTTGTAGTTGATAGTGGCAAATCAAAAATGCCATGAAGATGGGTGGAAACAATGCCCAAGCAGCCAATGCCATCAAGTATCTCAACTATGCTACCAGCTATGCAGGTTCCTTTAACAGTCTCTGTACCTCTACAAATTTCATCCACAAGCACTAAACTCCTCTTGGTGGCTCCGGTTACAATGCCACGAAGCTCTGACATTTCAATCTGTCACGAAAAAATCAAGTTAGATACACAGTTTATGATAATCATAACAGTAAAAGACAAGGAGTTCAAAAAACTGTTTCCTCTGTCAGAAAAAAAACTGTTGGACTGTTTCCAACAACAACCGCAGTTTTAGTCTAAGTTTGTTGTTATGAATTCTTCTCTGCCATGTTATATACTATCAAAAACTAAAAACCTGGTCTTTGCTTTGTTTGACAGGAAGTGGAAGAAGAATTCGGTTCAGTCTATTGATGGACTGATTTTGCGTTGGTTTGTTTTTTGCTTCTATTCCTATTGTCATCTTTTGGTTCTTATGGACTACAAGAAAAGATGGTAAGCATGTTCGTGAAATGATTTCTAAGTTCTCCTGTTTAATTTACATTATAAATTTTATTTTTAAAATGCTAAAATATGGCAGGTTTAAGAAACCAGTTAGTTTGGATTTGTTGAAGGTTTTTTATAAGTTCAATATTATGATTCCTAGGAATTGTAAAACTGTGACTAATTTGATTGTGGAAAAAAACCTAAGAATGGCGTTTTGAAATTCAATATGGATGGTATTTGGAATAATTTGTTTGCTAGTATTGGAGGCGCGTGCAGGAACTATTCTGGTGCTTGTCTGTTGTTGTTTTTTTTGCCAATTATTGCTTTTTCTCTTATTTGTGCAGAGGCTGGGGCAGTGTTTGCTGCTTTAAACTTTGCTATTAGATGTGGTTGGGATAAAATTGTGATAGAAATAGATTCTCTGTAGATGTGGAATTACTGCAATGTGAAAAATGAGTATCCTTGGCATTTGATTGTTCATATGAAAAAATTTTTTGCTTTACTTAATCATGCGCAGGTCCGATGATCGTTTATTCATCGAGAAGGAAATCAATATGCTAATGGGGCTGCGAGAAGAGGATTGGATACTCAGATGATTGATTTTTCTAATAAGATTCCTTTGGAGCTTTCTCCGTTGGTTAAAAGGGAATTTTTGAATATTCCTTTTATTCGTGCTAGTGATAGTTTCTAAGCTTTTAACGTGAGTTGTATTCTCGGCTAACGGTTCTTAGGATTTTATTTGCTTTGTGTGAGTTGTATGTGTTTGGGATTTAGTGAAAGTATCGGCCACACCCTTGTAATTATTTTTTTGATGAAATAAAATTTCCAACAAAATTAATTAAAAAAAAAAAAAAACTATAAACATGCATCAGAAAAGCCACAAATTATTTGCTCGTGGAAATTCTTAGAAACATTGATGGAAAGCCGCAAACACTAGACATTGCAAAGAGGTTTTTCTAGGATTGATTCTATGGTTATAATTGTAATAAATTGTTGTACTAGTGGGAAGCAGCCTTTCCGAACCAAATCAGTCATCTGTGCCTTTCACGCAAACCGCCCACACCATCTTCCCCCTCCCTATTCGTGCAAATCTCATGACCAATCCCATGAATTTGCACGCAACCGCCCGTCAATCTCCAATTGCACTGATCGTGTAATTTCTCCACTTCTCTAGATCGCCATTAACCGCAATGTAAGATTGCATGAGCCTAGGGCATTATAGTTTGTGTTGTCCTCCAGTTGCCGAACCCTCGACCATTGAGCCTCCTTCCCAGGAAACCACTAAAACCCTTTGTCTCCTTACTCCATTGCTTTCCTTTGCAGCTGATAGAGAATCAAGGCTCCCTTGAAAAAATATTAACTTCGGAGTTCGGACGCAAGTTGCGTCCGGACAACGGCTGCGATCCACCGGAAAGAGCGGGGGAGAAAAAAAAAACGAACTCCGGTCTGGACGTAATATTTTTTCCCCCTCAAGGCCTCAACCTTCCAATGTTCATGCCCAAGCTACAAAGCCTAATGTACTCAATCATATTTCCCTTTTCCTTATGTGAGACATTCACCGACTCCCCTCATTTTCCTCTTTTACTCAAAATTTTAATTATCTACCTCCTTGCGTATTACTCCTCAAATACTTCTTTTATTTCCTTATCACAAAACAAACAAAACAAGCGTCTTTCCTTTCACATAATGCCTTTAGGTTGACACTATCAATTCCCAGAGAAATTGTGGGTAATTCAAGCTTTTTCATTTATTCTTTTATCATGTTTACATCAAAAACTTTACATAGTTGATAGCTGATCCTAACACTAAACTATTATCTTTATTTATATATATATATATATATATATATATATAGGCTATAATTAAGGTTATGAGGTTTTATTTATATTATTTATTTATCCCTTATAATCATAGTTATCTTTGTATTAGCTTTGGTATAGTAATGTAAAGTAAGTTTTGTTTGCCTGAGTTAGCCTAAGTGTCATTCAAGTGGTTATGAATAAAATGGGTGTAATTTGATTTAATCCAGAGGATAGATTAAACTTTTGTAACAATGATAATTAATTTAAATCTACTATGATTGAGCTCCAATTGATTAAGTTGTAAGGTTTAAAATTTTTCTTGTTAAACCGGCTAACACCAGTTTTGGGCTATTAAGAGGAGAGATGAAGAGAATGGGAGAAGAATAGAGTCAGAGAGAGAGCGGAAGGGGATACAAAGATGAAGGGATCCCTGGAGCATATATCCTGAAGCGTGAGTAAGATCGAGGAATATGTGCGGGAGGAAGAGAGAAAAGCCCAAGAGCTGGTCAATGACACAAACTTAAACCGAATACTGCGAAAGCAAGGACATAAAGTAGGCTTGATCATTGGTGTGTGCCATGGAGTTCGTGCTCAAACAAAGACGAGCTGGTTCGTCATAGAGGTGAAGATTGTTCCGCATATGAGCTGCGAGTGAACGTGTGCGAGCATGAGCAATTTCCATGCAAAGAGAAGAAAGACAGCAGATACAGGCTAGTGCGGCGCGTGATTGGTGTGCGAGATCAAGTAAATGATGGACGTCCAAGCAGATAGTTGGAGTTGAGAGCAATAAGTGAGGTCCTTATGTGAGCCAAGATTGTGACGAGGGCTTGAGCATGTGCAAGATAAAGACCGATCAAGTTGAGGTAATTTTGTGTAATAACCAAAATTTTTTTGAGATATTTGTTAAAATTTCTGCAATTGAAAATATACCCTAAATTTCAAACCCCTCGGATTTCAATCAAAACAATTTTATAAAATTCTACACGAAAAATTGATTAATTTGATATATAATATTATATTTAAATTTTGAATGAATTGAAAGTTCTAAAAACTAGAAGTTATAAGTTAATTAAACTAATTATACCTAACCAACTTAACCCACGCGATATTTAGTCTGGGAAGCATCGAAACATCCAAAGATCTCGAAAATTTTCCTCCCCCCTCTTGATACAGGCTCTCCCTCCCTTTCGGTTTCGCTCGGAAGAGGAGTTCCTGCAAGCCTCTTCTCGGGCCACTGTAGCAGATTCGAACAATAAGGGTCAACGACCACCTGGTAAGCTGCAGAGTGCCAAATCCCATTTCCCCTCTCCTTGTTTCTTCTTCCTGCGAGTGTAGCGCTCGGCTTGTGTAGCTGCGCGGACCGAGTGGCCCACACAAAGCCGCAAACAACATTTTAGGGATTCGGGATGAAATCTTAAGGTACAAATTCTTATTTCATGCTCTTTGAGACATTTATGTCCATATTGTTCCCATTTTGAGTTTTGCCTAACTTTTTGGAGCAGTGTTTGTTTCTGGTAGCCGCCGGAGATGCTGAATTTACGTCAAAAGTGTTGAACTTAGTTTGCGAGCTCCGTAAGTGTTTTAGCACAGCATCAATGCAGGGAAAGACGAGATTGAGAAAATAGAAAGAGGAGAGAAGAAGATTTGAAAGCTTTAAAGTAGGGTTGGTTGCTAAGAAAGATGTTTAAGGTATGTTTTAGCAAATCAATTACATTTTTGGGTTTAATTAATTTATGAGTCAAGTTATCTTTAAATCCAAAGTTAATTGCAGATTTCAAGTTATTTGTCGAGGGCAACATGCCCGATGTTTGGAGTTAACCAAGACGGGAACAAACGGTCAGACGATGAAAATCAATGCTATACTATTCTTTAAATTTTAAATTGTTAGTGTAAGAAATAGAAATAGAATAACATAGAATTCATTTCCACCGTCCAACCATCCGTTCTCGTCTTGGTTAACTTCAAGGCTCGGGCTGGGTCGTGAGATTTTAATCCATAATTTTGATTATTGTGTAATAACTGAATACAAAAAAATAATATTGATAATCGAATAGACATAAGGATAAACATCTTTTCATTTCAACTAAGACTCGTACACCCTATTTCTAATCGATGGAACAATGAGAACGAGAGACTGAGAGAGGCATAGAGAAGAGAGGAGAGTGGGAGACCAAGTGACCTTGTGTGCCATAGTCGACCAGTGGAGAAGGAAGAAAGTCACTGATTTCGGGCGAGAGAGGTTTTGAAGTTTGCGTAGCCGAAAGAGGCGGCGATGTCGTGCCCTAATCATAGGAAGGTTTGAAGTTTGCGTAGCCGAAAGAGGCGGCGATGTCATGCCCTAATCATAGGAAGGAGGAGGAAGTGGTGTCCAGTAAGAGGAAGGGAAGCAAATTAATCACATCCAGTGTTGTCCGAGGAAGTTCTGTACGATGAAAGGAGCGGCTCTGCTTGCAAGTTTGACTAAAGGATGAGACGAAGTCTTGCAATCAAACGTAGCCTCACGTGCAGTAGAAGAGAAAAAAAAGGGGAGTCGCATTTGTGCGGGTTATGCTAGACAACCAAGAGATTAAGATGAGTATAAGATTTTAAATTAATTTATTTAACAAAAAAATCATTGAAATAAGACTCAAGAACATTAGCTTGAAGAGAAGTGGGATAAGTGTGTAAGTTAGAGGAGGGAGATTAATCTAAGCAAACCCCAATAAGATAAGTTTGGGTTTACATTATAATTTAATAAATGAATTTTAAATACACCAGCGCCCGGGTGTAATGTCAGATAAGCAAGAGTTCCCACATTACAGACGAATGTGGGTAAAAAAGTTAGTCCATGAAACTAATGAAACTAATATTAGGATAGGATCTTGAAATATAGGTACT